TTTTTTTTTTTTTCTTTTTTCGGTATCGTTTGGCTTTTGGGACTTCACATACAAATCGATGATATTTTTTTTCAGCTTACTGTAATTGGAGGACGAGTAATGTGTATTCTCAAATAAGTTGTATTGGTATGAATTCCAAGGCTGAAACTGTAATATGCTCATCAGACTTCTCATTATATTTGTACTAATTATTATTCATTAAAATGAAATGTTCCTAAAATACTAGATGTTTTTTTTTTAATATTTTATATATTATTACCGTTTCAGAAAAATATAAAAATAAAAATAAAAAATATAAAAATAAAAAATTTATCCACTTCATAATTTTTGTTTATTCAAACTTAAGAGGGGTCTAATGAGCTCTACCCAGGCATTGTTGCTGCTCTAGGGCAAAACACAGATCCCACAACATATAATCTGATCCAACGACGCCGTTTTTTTAACTAACCCAACATTCGGAGACTAACTTCGGTAGAGAACAATGCTAGGCATTTCGCACGGCGAACTTTTCCTCCTTTTGGGCGCCACCACCGCCCTCATCAATACTCCTTTTCTGTCTCTAAAATATGCATGCTTCCTGCTAATGAGTGGCGTTACATTTATGCCAAAATCTGTTAATTGGAAAATACGATCGTAAATTATAGGGCCTAAGGATCTTCCGGTTATCGCTAGAACAGCTGGGTGGTTAGCTGGGTGATTGATTGGATATGTTCAGGTGGCGCGTGGCCAATTCGAAAGCGTTATGCAACAATCTCAAGCTCACCACTGAATTGCTCATGCTGCAATGTTCACCACCCTTGTTTTGAATGTATGGCTGGTTCTTATACAAAATTTGATTTGTATAATTAAGAAATGGATGAAGACGTGATAGGTTCTTAAAGAGTTGCAAGACACGATGGCTCAATTAGAAGCCATACGTCATGAAATTCGATCGACTTCATTCGTGAATCCTGGTCCGTTGACAACAAGGCTAGTTGATAACATAGCTCGCCAACCACCCGTTAAAAATGATATCTGTTTCTAGTTACATTTTCTTATTTGTATTTGTTTTAAAACAGAACTCCTTCTTTCGAGTCTTCGACACTGATTTGTCTCAAGTTTCTTGATTGCGTTATAGCGGACAATGGATCTTTGAAAGCTCCTGAAGGTCTTGCAGCGAAAATTGAGATCAAAGAGATCAGTAGCA